TGAAACAGGCAGTGGTCAGACCACTCCTGAAAAAGGCCTCCTTTGACTCCACGGTCTTGAGCAACTACAGGCCAATCTCCAACCTCCCTTTCTTGGGCAAGGTGCTGGAGCGGGTGGTCGCCTCTCAGCTCCAGGGATTCCTAGATGACATTGACTATCTGGATCAGTCACAGTTCGGCTTCAGGCCTGGTCACGGTATCGAGACGGCTTTGGTCGCCTTGGTGGATGACCTCCGTAGGGAGCTGGACAGGGGGAGTGTGACTCTGCTGGTTCTCTTGGTCATCTCACCAGGGGGGATGAAGGAGCTCCCCAACGACCCGAAACAGCTCTGAAGATCTATTGGATGCGGACTGCATAATGGCAGCATGATTTGATTGTATTTTTTTCCAATAGTAAGAATGTTAGTTTTACTTAGTTTTATGATAAGGACAATGCTGGGTCACAGAAGTGAGTATAGTAGGAAAGCAGGCAGGAGGGGATGTGGAGCAAACGGGAAAGAGAGGTAATGAATATGATTTAGATGTGCTGAATGAGGAAATGCAACTCTTCAGTCATGAAAGCCTCCCTCCAACCTTCCTTTTTAAAACTTTTAGAAAATAAAATCTGTGCGTATTTTCTTTCCCTAAATATAGAGCAAAGGAACAATGTTTTTTTTTTAAAAGGAAACCTCAGAAATTATTCCACAAGCTTGGCCAGCCTTTTTACAATACAGTACACTAAAACAGACCCCTTCTACACTGCCATATAATCCAGATCATCAAAGCAGATCATTCACATTATCTGGTTTGAATTGGATTTTATGAATCTTCACTGCCATATAATCCAGTTCAGCAGATAATCTGGATTTTATATGGCAGCGTAGAAGGGGCCTCTGCGTATCCAGTGCAAGGCAAGGAGGTGTCGGGAGGATACTGGGACCATACTTCTGCCTGGTGGCCAGAAGTGCTTAACTTTAAAAAAATATATATATTTTTTGGAAATTTAGCATGGCTCAATGGCCCGTAGCTCACTTTGATTCGCACTGTAATAAGTCATGTGTCAACATTTTTTTTCAACTTTGCTTTAAAATTTTTAATACAATAAAATAAAAATAAAGCAATATTTCAATCAGGTTTAAAACAGGTTCAACCAGATACAAAATTCTTGAAGTAAGTGGCAAAACTTTTTGGCGCTGACAGCTTTAGAGTCATTTTACAAAGAGACATAGTGGGTCTTTTCACTTCCTTTTAATGCATTACTTTCAGAAAAGCTCCCAAGGCACACTTGTGCCCCATTCCCTTGCTCCTCAAGGCCACCACTATGTAGACCCTACACTTTAGGCTATTTATACCAGAAGCAAAGATAGCATGCAATAAGGATTTGGATGTATGCAACTGAATAGCTTTTTTTTTTCATTCAGGAGCGGGGAATGTTTGATTCTCATGGTGCCTTGCCATTGACCATACCATTGCCAGTTAAGGCTCATGGCAGTTTTTTTAAAAAAAAACAACAGGTGACTATAGCACTGAATGAAACATGCAGAATAATCACAGAATGAATCAAACCTATACCTGTTGATAAGCTCTACAAGCTAGCTGGCATTACCCCCCCCCCCCCCGATGTGTGATGGGCAGTTGCTTTTAACTGTGAGAGAAATAAGGTTGAACACTGTGAAAGCCACCCATTGCATGGCTATCACCCTCCTCCCAGTAGACTTCAATCAAGGAAAAGCTTCATGAGAACCACCACTCCTCTTAATGTTCTCCTAGCAACAGCAAGAGTATCCCTCTGAGCAGATAAACCAGGAAATCCCAACTGGGTCTTCCTCCAGGGGCAAACCAAGAATGGGCAGCTTGGAAGTCCCTGAACAGACTCAGAAGTGGAGTGGGCAAATCAAAAGACAACCTGGCAAAATGGCACTACCTAGAAGAATCTTCCACCTTGTGTGACTGTGGAGCAGAACAAACTCTGCATCTGTATGCTTGCCCGCAAAACCATGCCTCATGCACAAAGGAAGAATTGTTTAAAGCTACAGACAATGCAGTTGCTGTTGCCCGTTTTTGGTCTAAAACTATCTAGCAGCTTGTGATCTCTTTAATTTATCAGTTTTATACTGATTTATGCAATGAAATAAATAAATGGCAGTTTTAGACTAAAACATCAAGAGGGTCTAAGTATCCTCATGCTTCCTACAAATGGTTTAAACGTCAGATGAAGCTTTTAAAGATCACACTATTCCTTATCTCAGCTTTTCTAGTCGTGTGTCTTTTGGATGTTTTAGATGACAGTGGATGATGGAAACATTTGGAGAATGCAGTTCGATGAGGGAGCCTGTCCCAGGCTGTTCGTCCTCAGCTAAAGTGGTTCCATACTCCATTACAAGGCCAGTCACTTCTTAAATCTTTGTTAGGAAGGCAAAACAGTATCCAACAGCAAAGACTGATATTCGATGTCGGAAATTCTTCTTTGGAACAGCTCCTGTTTCAAAAAAAAGGTTGATGATAACTAGATCACCATAAGGCTGGACAATTCAATCTCATCCCAATATGACTAGTTTATGGCTTATCACAGGTTATCCAATGTGGAAGACCACCTGTCCCCACAATCCTCCAGGGACTGGCACTATATTTATGCCCATTGGTTCCAGTTGCATGTCTAATACTACATTTGATCTTAGCCAAAAGGGCCGAGAAGCGATGTCTAATTAGTTGGCAGCTTTGATTGTGAAATGATGGCTGTATGATCTCAGGGCTCAGTCTCTTCTGATGCCCGAGGCCACCCAGTACTTTATCTGACTCATAATGAGGCAGTGTCAAACCACACCCTTGTTCTTCTATTGTCATAATGCTATAGGACATCATAATAAGGCAACTAAAAAAAAAAAAGGTCAGGCCTAATACAATTCAGTCATACTTGTCCACTGAAGACACAACCCCTGTCTACACTGCCATATGATGCAGTTTAAAACTGCATTATATGCTCAGTGCGAAGTCATATTATGTAGTTCAGTGCAATTAAGCTGCATTATATGCATCTATACTGATTATATGATGCAGTTTCAAACTGCACTGTATAGCATGGGCCACAGACTAAATAAGACAAGAAGCTTTTCAGTGAGTAGCAGTTACCATATTTCTGTTAGGGTCTGAAAAAGGACTCCATCATATGGTGGGTTAACTGGAGAGGCATGTGTCAGTATTATTCGGCACTGGATGTTTCTCGTTTATATGTTAAAACTGTCTCAACAACCATATTGAATTTGGTTGGCATACTAAGAGTTTCTATCGCTGGCTCATTGCACAATCCCGGTTCCACAGTTACGTTTTTATCATCAAAAGGACAAGAGGGAGGGGGCTGACCTGATCTCACTAGGAAGGGTGTGTTCCATAGCTGAGGGGCAATCACTGAGAAGGCCCTGTCTCTCATCCTTGCCAAACGCGCCTCTGATGGTGGCGGGACAGAGAGCAGGGCCTCCCCAGAAAATCTTAATCTCTGCGGTGGTTCATAGGGGGAGATGCGTTCATATAGGTAAATTGGGCTGGGGCCATTTAGCACTTTATGGGACAAAGCCAGCACTGGGAGCAAACTGGGAGCCGGGGACAGGGAGAGCAATTAGAGAACGTATAGATCATCTACAAGTGTCGGAGCCCCTGTTGGTGCAATAGGTTAAACCCTTGTGCCAGCAGGATTGAAGACTGACAGATTGGAGGTTCGAATCCAGGGAGAGCACGGATGAGCTCTGTCTGTCAGCTCCAGCTCCCCATGTAGGGACATTAGAGAAGCCTCCCACAAAGATGGCAAAACATCAAAACATTTTGGCCTGAATATATTTCCACTATATGCCCTCTTTCTATTTAATGTAGAGTCACCATACATGCTTCTTTTCCCAGTTCCTTTTTCAGAATTAAAATGTCTGTCCAGGAGATTTGTAAACTGTCCAGGGATTTAAAACATGCCTGGCTGCCGCCCATTAATGCTGCCTTCATTGTTCATCAGCTCCATCAAGGCTGTTCTAGGAGAAGAGATGGAGACTTAGCAGTCAATGAGAAGTACAGAAGAGGAGGCTGAGCTTGCCAAGAAAGGCAGCTAAAGGGTGACAGAACAAGGGCTGTTTGGTGGAGCGTGCGAGGCAGTTGCCTGAAGAGGTAGGGACACGGAAAGGGGGAAGGTAAAATAGTGATTTAAGCACAACAAATGTTAGGAATATTTATAGAAGCAGATATCAGAGTTCATATACTAGGAGCATTTAAAGTGAGAGTTGTTAATCTGTTGATTGAAGTATTCCGTCAGCAATTGTGTTTCCTTTTTGCTTTCCAATTTTAAAAAATAAACTTAATAAACTTAATAAATTAATGCAAATACATTAGGATCCCCACATCTGTAGTGCATTCATTCCCAGACTTTGCGTACATATGCAAAATTGCTGATAATAGCTAAACCCTGTTGAAATGAAGGACTTCTGGCCCAAGAATACCATATTGTTGTCCTGCATGTGGATAAACGAAACTGCAGATACAGGGATTATAGTGTGTGAAGAACCATAGTGAAATAGATGGACTGGAATTATGTACAATGACTATCGAAATGACTTGGGTTATGACTGCGGATAGTGTGGTTTTATAGTGATTGCAATGTTTTAAAATGTTTTTAATGTACTTTAATTTTGATTTTAATTTCAATTTAAATGTTTATTTTAATTGTGTATTGTTGTTAAGGCATTTAATTATTGCCTGTCTGTAAGCTGCATTGAGGCCCCTTCGAGGTCAAGAAAGGCGGGGTATAAATATAGTAAATAAATAAAAAAGATGTATTGTTGAAGGCTTTCGTGGCTAGAATCATTGGGTTGTTGTAGGTTTTTTCGGGCTGTATGGCCATGCTCTAGAAGCATTCTCTCCTGATGTTCCACCTGCATCTGTGGCAAGCATCCTCAGAGGTTGTGAGGTTTGCTAGAAACTAGGAAAATTGGGTTTATAAAAAAAATAAGTGAGCCTTTCAGGGATGAGGACACTGCATAAAACAAATCCAGAGGTTGTTGGCTTTTATTATTCACACAAGAACAACACACAAGAACTACATTCTAACAGTGTTTTCATGCTAAGCAGCAACCACAGCGGTCTGCACTCCAGGTTTTAAATTAAAAGGAGCCATAAAACTCTTGTTCCAAATGGTCATTTTCCAGGGCCTTGGGAATTTCTGGTTCTTCTGAGCTTGGGATCCCTTCAAGTCCTGAAATGAGAAAAAAGAACAGGTGCTGAAGGCTATATTTCAGAGGGTGCCTTAAATTTAACACAAGCATCATCATGTAGTTGTGACCACAGTGACTCCCACTTCTTACATAAACTCATAACCTCTTTTTACACTACAAATTTAATTCATTGTTCTACTGGTGTAACTGTTGTGGTTCCTTCCAAAGAACTCCATAAACCATAATTTGATGAGATTATCTTCTAAACACAGACTTTGCTTCCTTCACAGAATTTCAGTTTCCAAGAAGATTGGAAGGTGAAGTAGCAATACTATGCAGGCTTGCTTGGGAGAAAATCTAAATGAACATTATTCTGTACAGATTGTGTTTAAGGGTACAGTAAAGGGTCCTTGTGGTCTAAATATCCTAAAGGTACCAGGTCCTGCTTATATTGGAAGCTAAGAAGGATTGGCCCAGGTTAACACTTGGATGGAGTACCTCCACAGAACACCAAGTTTTGTAGGTCACTGCTTTTTAATTGTAGTTCCCAACCCCAACGTTCAATATTGGGGTCTCGAAAAAAATTGGCCAACTCCATAACAACTATTTTGTACAACTCTTGCTATCAGCTATGTCGTTTTTTTAATTTTTCACTTGAAAAATCTTTCTTGTACAGTTTTTAAGATGAAAGATTTGCAATATTGGGATATTATTCATAAATATCAATAGTAAACATTTACTCCCATACAAGATTTTATATAGAAAATTGGGACACATATTTGAATTAGCATAAAGTGATTCAGAATATATATTTTGATCAAACAAACCAGGGGTAGAGTTAGGGTTCAACAGTAAATAAATGTCTTCTGAATTGTTCCATGACTGAAAAAGTTTGTGAATTATTGCTCTAAATCAGGGGTTCCCAAACAAAGGCCCGCGGGCCAGATTTAGTTCTTCAAGGTCATTTACCTGCCACCCCACCCCATAGATCAGTGGTTCTCAACTTGTGGGCCACGGCCCACCAGTGGGTCATGAGAATGAAAATCCAGTCTGCTAACCTCCTTTCTCTTTATTTTATTTTATTTACACTCCTTTCCACAGAGCTAACCAGCCCCACCTCTTTTAGTACTAATGTTGGAGAATGGTCCCTGGTCAAAGTGGGCCCTGTTCAAGTGGTCTCTGTTGAAGTGGGCCCTAGTGAAGTGGATTCTGATCAAGTGGGCTCTCATCAAAGTGGGCCTTGGTCAAGTGGGCCCTGGTCAAAGTGGGTCCTGGTCCAAGTTGGCCCTGTTCAAGTGGGCCTTGATCAAAGGGGACCCTGGTCAAAGTGCCCCTGGTCAAGTGGTCTCTGTCAAGTGGGCCCTCATTAAAGTGTGTCCTGGTCAAGTGGTCTCTGGTCAAAGTGGTCTCTGGTCAAAGTGGTCTCTGGTCAAAGTGTGTCCTGGTCAAGTGGGTCCTGTTCAAAGTGGGCCCTGGTCAAGTGGTCTCTGGTCAAAGTGGTCTCTGGTCAAGTAAGCCCTGGTCAAGTGAGCCCTGGTCAAAGTGAGCCCTGGTCAAAGTGGGCCCTGGTCAAAGTGGGCCCTGGTCAAAAAAAACATTGGTAGCCACTGCTTTAGACTTAGGGTCACCCCAAGTCTGAAACAACTTGAAGGTACACATCATCAACAATCCTATTTAACTTGACTCTTTCATCAGCCAAAAGCAGGCTCATACTTCCCATGTTGGTTAAAATTGTTCTTCATTTTAAACACTGTATTGTTCTTTCATGTTTTTTCACACTAGAAATAAGATATCTGTACTGTGCATAGGAATTTGTTCATTTTTTTTTCAAACTATACTCTGGGCCCCCAATAGTCTGAGGGATTGCAAACCAGTCCTCAGCTTTAAAAGTTTGAGGACCCTTGCTCTAAAGGATTGAAGAGGCATCACTTTTTCCCCAGTTATTTGAAAGTTTCTCAGCAAGAGAGGTTTGCTCCTGGACATTCCTTACCTGGTGAGAAAAAGGGTTCACTGGCAGGGGTTGCCTGCTCAGCTGCCTCCTGCTGTGGAGTGTAGGGCTCTTCAGCTTCCACAAGAGGGATGGACGTCTCTGCTGGGAAAACCAGAGTAACTTCAGCTTTCTCTTCCACTTGAGTTGCCTGTGCCTCTGGCTCTCTTTCTTCTGCCACCTCCAGTGGTATCTCTGATTGTGTCTCTGGCTGTGGTTCTTCAGCCTGGCGTCGCCCTCGGCCTCTCCCGGCCCCTCTCCCTTTCCGAGCCCTTTTGCTCTTTTGCTGATCCCTGTCGAAAAAGAGCATAAAGGCATATCAGGGAAGATTGTTGCAAAGGGTCCTCTTTGAAACGACTTAATGACAATTTGTGGCTGGCTCCTTGTCAACATTCAAAGATACAGAATGGGGGGACTCCTGGCTCGAGAGCAGTACGTGTTTAAAAGATCTTGGAGTCCTCGTGGACAACAAGTTAAACATGAGCCAACAATGTGAAGCGGTGGCAAAAAAACCCAATGGGATTTTGGCCTGCATCAATAGGAATCTAGTGCCTAGATCCAGGGAAGTTATGCTCCCCATGCTCTATTCTGCCTCAGTTAGACCACATCTGGAATACTGTGTCCAATTCTGGACACCACAATTGAAGGGAGATGTTGACAAGCTGGAATGTGTCCAGAGAAGGGCAACTAAAAGGATCAAGGGCCTGGAGAACAAGCCCCATGAGGAGCGGCTTAAAGAGCTGGGCATGTTTAGCCTGCAGAAGCTAAAACTGAAAGGAGACATGATTGCCATGTATAAGTATGTGAGAGGAAGTCATATAGAGGAAGGAGTAAGCTTGTTTTCTGCTGTCCTGGAGACTAGGACACGGAACAATGGCTTCAAACTACAAGAAAGGAGATTCCACCTGAACATTAGGGAGAACTTCCTGACTGTGAGAGCCATTCAGCAGTGGAACTCTCTGCCCCGGAGTGTGGTGGAGGTTCCTTCTTTACAGGCTTTTAAACAGAGGCTGGATGGCCATCTGTCAGGGGTGCTTTGAATGTGATTTTCCTGCTTCTTCGCAGGGGGTTGGAAAGATGGCCCATGAGGTCTCCAACTGTATGATTCTATCTCAATACAAGCAGTCCCCAAGTTATAAACATCCAATTTACAAATGACAAATAGTTAAGACTAGGGGTGAGACAACAGGAAGTGAGCGAAATATACCCCTTGGAAGGGAAAATCACCCCTGAAAGAGTTATCATGGTGAAACCACAGGTTTGTTAACCTTTCCCTATGCTATCCAAAGAAAGACAACCTGTGCTTCACACGTAGCAAGACAAAGCAATTTAAATTTTGTTTTGTTTTGTTATTCGAAAGCATCTAGCTCATATTTTGCAAAACCATACTTGAAAACATGAAAGCAATGCTTTATGAAATCCCAGAAGCCAAAAACAGTATTAGAAGCAAAATAAATCATGTAAAAACAAAACTTTTGCAAAATAAATTATTTTGCAAAAAATAAATTATACAAATCTATTCTATACTTCTAATTTATAGATTATCCCCTGATGGGGCAATGTGTTAAACCCTTGTGCTGGCAGGACTGAAGACCAATAGGTCAGCGGATTGAATCTGGGGAGAGCGGGTTGAGCTCCCTCTGTCAGCTCCAGCTCCCCATGCAGGAACATGAGAGAAGCCTCCCACAAGGATGTTAAAACATCAAACATCCAGGCATCCCCTGGGCAACGCCCTTGCAGATGGCCAATTCTCTCACACCAGAAGTGACTTGCAATTTCTCAAGTCATTCCTGACACACACAAAATATATACATTGCAGAATCCAGGATATTTTGACACAGAACCTTGCTGCCTCCAGCTTCAATGTTTTAAATTATTTGATGAGGAAGACAAAACACCCCAAGAACTTTACATTCCAAAAGCTTGCATCCAATTTTGAGCAATGTGAATGAGAGGATGACGGCATAAGAAAAAAAGATAACAATTAGAAAGAAGAGAATCAGAAACCAAGACACTGAATGACAAATGAAAGCAAATGGGGCAATTAGAGCTTGTTTCAGCTGGAAAGATAGAACTAACCAGTAGAAAGACAGTTCCACTTAGGGCCCATCTACACTGCATATAATTCAGTTTCTGAATCCAGATTATCTGCTTTGGATTATATGAGTTTACTCTGCTATATAATCCTGTTCAAATCTGGATGCAGAAACTGGATTATGCAGCAGTGTAGATTGGGTCTCAATGAATAAACTTCCAAACATAGGGAGCAGAATTGTCTTAAGCAAACAAGACTCTGAGGCTCACATCTATTTCATTATCCTATTGCTAAAAGAGCCCTTTCCATAATAAACCATCACCTGCAACTCCGTTGCCACAGTCGCTCAGGTCTTGCTCTCTTAACAGGACTTATTAGTTGGAACTGATTTGAATGGAATTTAGGAGTGACCAGCTTGTTCTGGATTATAGACAAAATATCCCAAAAGTACCAGATCCTGTCTGATCTTGTAAGCTAAGCAGAGTCAGCCTAGTTGGCGCTTCGATAGAAGACCGCCAATGAATGCCAACTGATGTAGGCTCTATTTCAGAGAAAGGCAATGACAAATCCAGCCTGAGTATTCGTTGCCAAGAAAACCCTATGAAATTAATGGGGTCACCAGGTACATAAATATAAACAGTGCCATTACTGAGATCTAAAATATTCATTTATAGAGGCAATCCATACCCATGAGCAACATAACAAACAGCTTTGCTTCTAAAACAAAGTGTTAATTTCAACATCCTAATTTACCCCAGAACCCACTGGTGAGTGTCTTTTTCCTCTGCTTCCGCTCTCCTTTTTCTGAGAAGCTCTCGGTCTCTCAAACGGCGAGTGATGACCACTTCTACAAGAGAAAAACAATAAGAATTAAAATGTGGAATGAGTTACCCAGTAAGAGATCATTTGGGATGAATCTTCACTGCCACATAATTCAGTTTCTGAATTCAGATTCAGAACTGGGTTATGTGAGGCTACACTACCATACAGGGGGGCCCTGGAGGTGCAGCGGGTTAAACTGCTGAACTGCAGAACTTGCTGATCGAATGGTTGGCGGTTCGAATCTGGGGAGCGGGGTGAGCTCCCACTGTTAGCCCCAGCTTCTGCCAACCTAGCAGTTTGAAAACATGCAAATGTGAGTAGATCAATAGGTACCGGTTCAGTGGGAAGGTAATGGTGCTCCATGCAATCATGCCGGCCACAGGACTTTGGAGGCGTCTATGGACGCCGGCTCTTTGGCTTAGAAACTGATATGTGCACCACTCCCAGAGTCGAACACAACTACACTTACTGATATGAGCACCACTCCCCAGAGTCAGACACAACTTTTAAATACTACCATATAATCCAGTTCAAAGCAGATCATCTGGATTCAGAAACTGAATTATATGACAATGTTGATGGGTCTCTGGTAAATAATAAATCCCTTTAAAGCTGTAGCAGCTCGTGACTTCGATTCCAGTGAGCCAATTTTAGTTTTAGTCTGAACTAAGCTGTCTCAGGTGTCATACATCTCCCATATTAATTCATATGTCTAACATATTTATTACATCTCTTAGCAGAGCACTTAAAAATATATGTAACAGAAAAGGTATTTTATTGTTCTTCATTTCTGAAAGTGAAGAACATTTGCTCCCTTCCCCCTACTTATTATTTAAGCTCCTTCCTTTAAAAAAATAAAGAAAATCAAAATGTCAATTGATTATTTTAATCAGAATAGACAAACATAATCCCAAGTTTATTTTCAACTATGGTAGCCAGATGCAAAAAGGACGGTTATGTAAAAGAGAACTTTAGCAGATGGAGATTATCATGCCAGCTGAAATTCTACCGTCAGCACAACTGGACTGTGAGAGGCAGAACGGTGTAGTGGTTTGAGCACGGGACTAGGACTCTGAGAGACCAGAGATGAACCTCTGCCCAGCCATGGAAATCCACCAAGTGGGCAAGTCAGATTCTCTCAATCTCAGAGGAAGGCAAAGACAAAATCCGTCTGACCACATCTTGACCAGATAGATAGATAGATAGATAGATAGATAGATAGATAGATAGATCTAGAGCGAATAGGACGACGAGGGGAGTCAGCAGCGGGACGTTGCTCCAGAAGAGACCTTCTGCCCCCCCAAAACTAGGAAAAGCCCAGGTGTGGGGCCCATCCCAACCCCTCCTCCTATGATAGGAGGAACAACACGACTAAAGGGCAGTGTATGCTCAAACAATTGCCAGTAAAGTTACTTTCCCCATATTCTATTCATGTTTATCATCACATCATAGGCTATCATTCGTAGCCAAGTATGATTGCCTTCCATGATGGTGGGTCCGTAAGCGACTGTAGAGACCTATTCTGGATCCCTATGTTCTTTCACATCCATTTTCATGTCTTCCTCTTGACATGTTTCTCCCTTTAACATTCATGTTTACCCTTGATCTCTCCCGATCCCCCTGTCACTTCAGTTTTTATTAAAAGTGCATTATTGTCCACTTGAAGGCTCAATCCCTAAGCACCTCCAGCATGACCTGCAAAATATGCCAGGCTAACTAAAGGTTTGAAGCATAGACTGATGGTTACAGTTTGTTAAATACTGAATATAAATGCTCATGTTCAGTCTTACCATGGCTTAGTTGTGATCCTAGAACAACTGCAATTCAAATGCACACACTAGCATTGACAGTCCAGGTAGGACAGCATGAGGAGATGAAAGAGAAGTAGTGCCCACTAGTGTGTTGCACCCATTTTTGTGCATATATTTAACTTTTGAGTGTAGGCAGACAGTTCTAAATGGAAGAGGGTTGAACAACTGTATATTTATATTCTACATTTCTTCCAGTAAGCTTCTCTGACCATTCATGCCATGCTCACAACAATCCTGTTGTTGCCTGAGTGGGAGAAACTGGTCAAATGTAACTCAATGTGAATTGGGGACTCTTTAGCCCCATTGCAACTTGGGGAGCAGAAAGAATGGACAGCCAAGTTTTTTCTGCAACCCTTAAAGTGTCTTTTCGGCCATCAGCCTTTTAGCAGGAGCCACAATGGAGCAATGAGTTAAACCTGTGGTTCTCAATCTGTGGGTCCCCAGGTATTTTGGCCTACAACTCCCAGAAATCCCAGCCAGTTTACCAACTGTTAGGATTTCTGGGAGTTGAAGACCAAAACATCTAGGAACCCAGAGGTTGAGAACTACTGGGTTAAATCTTTTGCTGGCTGAACTGCTGACCTGAAGGTCGGCGGTTCGAATCCTCAAGATGGGGTGAGCTTCCGTCTGTCAGCTTCAGCTTCTCATTCAAGGATATGAGAGAAGTCTCCCACAGGATGGTAACTTATCCGGGCATCCCCTGGGCAATGTCTCCAAAGACAGCCAATTATCTCACACCAGAAGCAGCTTGCAGTTTCTCGTTTTTTTCTTTTTTGCAATTAATTTTTTTTATTGAAAGAGTATACGGTTACATGGAAAGTGGGAGAATATTGTAAAGAAGATAGAAAAGTAGGAAATAAGATGGGGTAGGGAGAGGTAAAAAAAAAAGGAAGAAGACCCCATATTGTTGATGGCTGTCATGGCCGGAATCACCCATATTTTAGCAGCATTTTCTCCCAACGTTTTGCCTGCATCTGTGGCTGGCATCTTCAGAGGATCTGATGATAGTGAAGCAGAGGATCTGATGGTAGTAAAGCATTACTATCATCAGATCCTCTGAAGATGCCAACCACAGATGCAGGTAAAGCATCAGAAGAAAATGCTGCTAGAACATGGCCATACAGCCTGGAAAACACACAACATCCTATTCTTGTTGTAGATGCACAAAAATGGGAAAGACATTTACAACATCTCTCCTCCCCCCCCCCCCCAAAGCTGAATGATGAACGCAGTTCAAGGGATAGGGTTAAGGGGGAGAACCAAAGTGCATACAACTTTAGCAAAACTATGGGTTAACTTTCAGTGTTCCCCTTCCCAGCATAAAAATCATTACCTGGGACTGCATACTCCTCAGCGGTTGCTGCTGGCTGCTGTGGATTTCCAGAGTATGAATGGTCTTCTTCTAGGCTTGCCATTTGCAATGCTTTATTTTATATATTTATATATACAAAAGGAATTTCCCCCTCATCTGGCACATCTAATGCTATAGTGCAAATGAGTGTTTCCAAAAAGAGAAAGAAGCTACCCACCCAACGCATCTTATCTGCTATGGACACTGGTACGTTAATACTGCATTTCCTTATCATGCCGCAAAGGTGTTTAAATTCGCGCTCCCAGAAAGGCATATCCCTGCCCAAATATGCTTTTTCTTCTTTGCAGCAAACACTCCCCAACCACCCCGCAAAACAACAGCCAATTTCTAAAGTTTTGAGCTTTGGATGCTTTATTTATTTATTTACGACATTTATATGCCACCCTTCTCACCCCGAAGGGGACTCAGAGCAGCTTTTCTGCTTCACACATCAAAACAAGCTCGATGTCCTTGAAAACTAGAATTATTCACCTTGACTTAAGTGAGTGTGGGTCAAAGGCAATTCAGTGCTGCTCCCAACACCTCATAAGCTCTGGGGCCAGCCTGCCCTTTCCTGCACCTTCTTGGGTTGCTTTGAAGTGAGTCACCTAGCTGAGCCTGACATCCTGGATGGGATTTCCAGCTGATGAAATGGTCTCTTCCATTTGCTTCTACATGATGGGATTGATTTCCCAGGTCACAACCTGCAGCATTTTACAAACCTGCAAGTTTGCCACACAAGAATGACTTTGCAAGAAAACACCACAATATAAAAACTGCAAGGAATAGTATGAATTCATTGTAGTGACTTTTCATATCAAAAGCTGGGGGGAAATGCTGAATTATCTTTGCATAATCAGCCTAAATTAAGTGGAGAATACCAGCCTGACACTTCCCAATTCAATGCTTTTTCTTTACTTGAAAGAGCATCCCTATAGGAATTTCTGTATAGTCAACTTCTTGTGGAAGGTGATTCCTTAATCGCATTAGAGCATCTAGTGATTCCTAGGGAGGTGTTTTCTCTAGGAATCTCTAGGTCTTCCAGGATGACTCTATGCTCAACTCCAGATGAAGTTAATCACAGAGTTGAACTAAAAGACCTAGAGATTCCTAGAGAGGGTTTAAAAAAATCAAATGCCTGAATAATGAAATCCACAAAAATCAAATGCATGAATAATGAAATCCACAAAAATCAAATAAAAAAAATGTGGAGGACAAAAAATGCACCACTGGAGGAACTTATGTACATGTATTCTAGGAAAAAAACCACAGTCTTTCATGGCAGGACTCTGCCGTTTTTACCTGCGGTGAGCTGCATGCTTCAGTAAGGCATAGGAAAACAAAACATGTTAGCTTTGACCTCCTGACACAATTTAACATGTGTATATTCTAATGATCTAGAATTAAGCTGTGAAGTAGCACAGTAATGTAAACTGAATGGCAAATTTAATTTAACTTAACATAAATTAGGTTTACTACACAAGTTGGCATGAAGGCATCCTTGCAAACCTTAAAAGCATTCAGAACAAGTACTGAGCTCTTCCTATGGTCTGTTCAGGGATGATAAGTACATTTCAGTTGTGACTCAGCACAAGTTTCAGAGGGGAGAAGGGAAGGCTAGATAATCCCTCCCTTCTGTACCTTTCCAATCCTAGCTGCGTATGTTAAGGTGACAAAAAGTATGTAACAGACAATATACCTTATTCAGTCCAGTTTGTTGAAATCTGGAAGTCCATGCATATGATATTTCCCCAAAAATGTGGGCTCAAGAGTCTCTTGCACTTGTTGCAGGTCTTCCAGTTATGTTCAGTATAACAGTTCAGCAAATGTTGATTAGCTGAAAGATTGACTCCTGACTGTTCATTCTTCAAAGTGCTGGATATATAAACATTTTCCAGCTGTTAGCAACAGAATTACTGAGAGAAGGTTAAAGTGAGAAGCCTTCTGGCACCTTTTTAAAACATTAAGCACTTGCAGTCATCAGCTTGATGTTTCTTGTGTGCGTGAACACACACACATATATGTAAAAATGTATTTGACAGACAGATAAAATAATAGAACTGTAAAACAAAACAAGGGAGACAGAAAACATAGTAGAGCATCAACTGTAAAACAAATAAGCATTTTTTTTTAATTTGCAATATTAAAACTACAGTTACATTCTATCTCATTAGCTAGATGCTTCTGATGGGACGGTAGCTCTTTTTAGGCATCCTGTCTGAATCAAACTGAGGTTTTATTACTAGATCTACTTTCCCGAGTTTCCTCAATTGCATCCCCGATTACACAGATTAAAGAGGAAGAGAGCTCATCTGTTCTTACATGTTGTTATGTGCAGTGCAGTTGGCAACTATGAATGGCAGACCTCATACTAACAAGCAAATAGTGAAGCTTTGAAAGTAATATTATGCTTAGAATATGGTTCATAAAATGTAAATTATAAAAGACACCATCTAAGCACTTGTCCATTCCAGCACTAATCCATCCCTTTTTGTTTTTTTGCAGAAGTAGGTGCTGCCAGTGTGTAACCTGAGCGCCACCTCCTGGGGAAAATTCTGACATAACATGTCCAAGATAATCATAATCAAACCGCTAAAAGAACCAGTGTTACTCCCCCTTTAGGTTCTTGTAAAAAGTGAGTGTCTAACCAAAGTTATGGAGATATAGTTGCAGTCATCTGAAAGCACTATTGCTCAAACCAGAGTAAAGACAAGGCATGAGAAGTGAACAGTTGGTATGGACAAATTTGTATCTTCTGCACATTTCTGTGTTTGAAAATACTTCACATCATGATAGTTAGTTACACATACATAGTGGTCACACTGCCCTATGCCCATTTTTAGAAAGCAATAGATGGGAGAACAAAGCAGCATTTATTTCAATTAACCTTGTTCCACTGCATCATTTTTCACAGCATGCTCAGAAAGCCAAAGCAAGCCATACATCTAATATACATGGGCACAAAAAGGATTTGGTTACATGGAGAATTACATTTAGATGGTCAAATTAGACATGCTTGGACCATCTACTAATCTATCTGTCTTTCACCCGTTTGTTTGTTAATTATATTTCTTCAAGCCTTCACAGATGTCCTGATGACACTGCAGTCCTAAAAGAGTCCACAGGCCACAGATTGAGAATAGTTTTAAAACTTTATTATTATTATGACAATTAGTTTCAATCTGTGTTAGGAGAAATATAGTATGCTTGTTTAATATCTCACCTTTCTCCAGAATGGGACTCAAAGTGACAGGCCCTATATCCTAGGATCTGATCCCAGGTTTTCTGCTTTAATGAGTCCGCAATGCCAGATAATCTTGGATAGACAGAAAACCTGGGATCAGTTCCTGGGATATAGAGACTGTTTGGAAGGGTCTTCAGGCATGAATCAAACCAAAGCAAATGTATTGTTGTTATTTGCTGTCAGTTATGACTTATGATGATCTTATGAGATACTTCCAAGCCCTTTATCAGTCAGTCAGTCAGTCAGTCAGTAGCCTTTATTTCGGTCAACAAACCATCGGCTAAGTCAAGTGAAAGTAGAATAATGGAATACAACATTTAAGTAATTAATAACTTATGACGATCTTATGAGATACTTCCAAGCCCTTTATCACCAACAGCCCTGCTTAGATCTGGTGAGCCATTTTTTCTCACGATATGTATGTTGCCTTCTAGGGCCCCTTTCACACAGCTGAATAAAATCTCACATTATCTGCTTTGAGCTGGGTTATATGGCAATGTGGACCCAGAAAACCCAATTCAAAGCAGATATGGTGGATTATTTGCCTTGATATTCTGGGTTATATGGGTGTGTGGAAGAATAATTCAGGCTTGATTTTCTCTAGGATATTTGTCTTTTTAACAGTCCAAGGTATCCATAGAACTCTTCTCCCACACCAAGTTTCAAGAGTTGATTTTCTTCCTATTTACTTTCTTCACTTTCTAACTTTCACAACCACATGGCAATACTAACTTTAGTGTTCAATTATATAGCTTTACATTTCAGAATCTTGGCTAATTTCAGTGTTGACACTGTCTTCTTAAAATTTGTGCAAATTGACTGTGGCCACTATTTTTGTTTTCTTAATGTTCAACTTTAAACCTGCCATTGTACTTTTCTTCCTGACTTTCTTCAGTAATTTTTTCAGGTCTTTGCTGTTTTCAATTGTGCCCAGTAACAGACTGGCAGCCAGTGGAGCTGCTGTTACAGAGGGGTTGTCTGCTCCCTGTAGCCAGACCCAGTGAGCAACCTGGCTGCAGCTCTTCGGACCAACTGAAGTTTCAGAGTACTCATTAAAAGGCTGCAAAAACATTAAGGGCCTTTCCACACAACCATATAACCCAGAATAATAAAGCAGATAATCCACAATGTCTGCTTTGAATTGGGTTATCTGAGTCAACACTGCCATATAATCCAGTTCCATGTGGATTTTATACAGCTGCATGGAAGTGGCCCAAATCTTCTCTTGGGATAGTTTGGTTTCAGTGTTTCTGTTTTCTTCTTGGGCTGAATACAAGTCTTGCCTCCTCAAACCTGGATTTAAAAAATCAATCTCATCCAGGCCTGTCACTCAGAATTGGATGATTCTGATTGATCATCTCATTTTAATCAGCCTCTCATTGCCAAAATTTTACAGAGTACAAGCAAAATTTTTCAGTTATGATCCTCTGTTGCACTTCCATTTTTTTATTATTTCCAATAAAAGTAAACATAGCAAAAGGTTGGACTAGATGGCCCACGTGGTCTCTTCCAACTTTCTGATTCTATGAAATATCCAACATAATGTAGTCCAATTGGTAACACTTTTTTTTAGAACAGGTCTTCTTAAACATTTTCCACTTGCAACCCTTTTCCACCCAATAATTTTTTTACACGAGCTTGGGTATATATGTATATTTTAAAAGTATAAAAAACAAATATTTAATGATAAATCAACTTTTGCAAACTTGCTAAACAGGCTGGTTTTTCTTTTTGTGGAGTGCAGCTGAAGCATTTCATGCAGAGTCCACTGTAAACCCTGCATGTTATTGCCAAGATATTTGTGTAAATGGGTGGTATGCAGAAACCTTTTATTGTTGCCAATTTTTCTTGACCCCAACATTGATCTCAGGAAACCCCATTTCAGGTCAGGACCCACAGTTTAAAAAGCAATGGTTTAGAGGAAAATCTCGCAAGGAGATGAAGGAAAGCAGGC